AGTGGAGTCCGTGGAATGGGAATGGGAATATGGGCACCGGCACCGGTAACTGGACACCGGATGCAGATAAATCTTTGGGCTGCCGCCGGCCCTCCGCTTCCCCCGGTGACCAAGTTCTCAACATTTTAAAAGCAAGTTGCGTATTGCGAAGCCGAAGCTGGGCTCGGGTATGGGTATCCAAGTCTCCTGGCCAGAAGTCCCCGGCTTGAAGCTCGATCGGAATCACGAGATAAGCTTGCAACAATCCCTGCTCGCAGCGAGCGGCGACAAACTTAATTGCGCCTATTCCTGCATTAATTGCACACACACGCGCGAGGATGGCGTCGTTCGGCCGCCGGAATGTGTTAATTAAATATTTAAATTATTCGCATTCGAATTCGTACATCGTGGCCAATGGATCCTTCATTACTCGAATATCGGTCGCCGAATGCTGAATTTAAAGATGCGGCACGCACGGTTCTGTCCCGGTCCTCCACTGTCCTTTCCTGTCCCGCAGTCCTTCCTCGCAGGACATTATACACTTTTTGGTCTAGACTGTTTGCGGTCATCGGCAAAATAACAACAACCGCAGCGGCAGCATCTGCATAGGCATCTGCATCTGCTGCCTAGAGAACCGACAATCGCGTTCGATCAGCGGGCATTTTTATTTCGCCATTCAACATTTCTGCTGCACAGAGAAAAAGCCAGGGATCAGGTAACTAACCTAAATATATTTAAATCTTTTATCACAATTTAAGAAGCATTTTGCTAGGAAGCAGTATAAATCGTTTGAATATTACAATTACATAGAAGAGATATTACAATTAAATATTACAAATATTTATTTGTTAGAAAAGCCTATTTTAAATACCCCATAAGTACGCTTTTTGGTTGCACTTTTGTTGTACATATAATATTTAGGTGGCAACTGCAAATGTTTATGCTATAAATTTTAACTTTCATTATTAACGTAACATTATTTATATAATCTACTTTAAAAGCTATACCTGTTGAAATGATTACCAAACTAAAATTTTTGGCTTGTTACTTTTAAGTAGGGAATAAATTTAAAATTAAATATAAATTATTCTTGCAAAATCTTAATTTTTTTAAAAAAATTTTAATAATAAAATCAAAACTCACCCACAAATTGATTTTTGAGTACCATATGCTTTTTTGGAACCAACTCAATCCCGACTCAAATACTTTCTAAATTTTTTCCCTGTGTGCTTTTATTGAAAAGTGGAAAAATGATGCCACGCGTCCTTTGGGCAAAAGCCACAAAACATTTTCATTTTATTTTTACACGAGCCAAATAGAAGCAATCGAGGCGGCCAATGTCCTTGCGGTGTTGCAGCGCAATTGGAAAATATATTAATTAAATGTAGAGCCCCACGGCAGCGGGGCTCATTGCCAATTGTCCAGTTTTGTTCGCCAATTTTGTGAGTTTTTTGTGTTTTTTATTTTTTTATTTTTTGTTTTTTTGGACCGGGAACGGGAACTGCAAATGCAAAACGACGACAGGCGAGCAATAAACATGCAGGCCATCAATGCACGTTTCGGCATAGATAAATTTGAAAATAGCGCCGGCGGTGGGAGGTTCAGTGGAGCTACAAATTAGAGCTGCTGGCCCAAAGCCCGGCTATATGGCAGTATATATCCGAATTGTAGTTCCATCAGCGGGCGCATTGAGCCGTTTAAAAGCCAACCGCATGCAAGTGGAGTGCCGTGTGTATGTTGCATTTTGTGGGTTGTGCAACCGCGGAAGTTTCTGGAGGGGCAAAGGGGTGGGGGTCAGGAACAGAGGCGTCCCGTGTAACCGGCGGCGGGGGCAACTTCCAACTACCATCTACCAACTACCAACTGCAACCGCCGCCGCCCTGTAGCGCCAGCGCTCTAGAATGAGTTATTGGCCTTGTTGGCGATTTTATTGCCACGGCGCAGCCATAAAATATGGTAAATTATAGCGGTTTGTTGTTTTGGCCATTTTGTAGCCGAATAATGTTCTACGTGTGCGTCCTCAAGCCCCAATAGACCTGTTCATGTTTCAGCCCCGGATTCGCTGCACACGCCCACAACACAAATGTGGTCTTGTCAAATGGAAACGCGACAAGTTTCTTTGTTTAACAAAAAGGTCCGAACACGCGCCGTTATAATATATCAATAGCCCGAACGCGGGCAATGTTTTATTATTTCAATTTTAAATTAATTGTATATGCAGCGCGAAAACCAATTATCTGAAAAAAAAAACTGGCCTATGTATTGGTATAGTTTGGTATTGTTTTGCCAATTTTAGGATTTTCCGTTCTTACGGAAAAAATTCTATAAATTCCATCCTTCGGAGTACAATAGTGGGATTTATCTCAAAAATTCGGGAAAAGACGCCTCTAGATGCCTGTCAAATATTTTCGGTACATATTTTTCCTTGTATTTTTTTAAACCTGTTCACAGCATCAAGTTGGTTGTGAATAGAGGTGAACAAATTACTTCAATGGCTCAAAGGCCTTGATTGACTCAAATAATAATGGAACCTTAAATGCAATTATGTAGAAGGGCATCTAAGCCATTTTTTGCCATAGGTTTTAATACAATTGAGCACAGACCCTCGATGATATCTTAAGTCAAAACATTAAATGTTGTTATTTTTTTAAAACCGCTATTGCACAAATACCACCCGTTAAACTCGAAAACTAAGATATGCTTATTTACGTCTATATTAACACAATTTAATGGCCATATGGCTGACCAAAAACACTGGTGGCCTGTGTATTTTAGAAAAACTTTATATTTTGAAAGACTCTTTCAGAAAAGTATCCTTGTCTTTCAGTTTTTGTAAAAAAAATGGTTTTTAGAATTGTAAAATAAATATATATTTTTAAAAATACAAATTATACAATGGTATAGTTTACTTATTAGCTTACTAAGCTGCAGTCAGTAGAGTGCTATAAAATCTAATGGGTTTTTTTTTGTCATAATAATATTTAATTTCCACAAGCGTTGCACAATTAAAGAGGAGCATGTCTGATTACATGCAATCCACTGCTTTGCATGTGCTGAATTTCATTGTTCCTGACTTTTCAATTAGAACCACCCCAAAAGCGAAATGGGCATCAGATGCTGCAATCCTTTATGCAGCCGAAGTGAAATCCTTTTTGCCACATTGCACCGAAGAGGCAATTGTGCGGAAAACCCCTAAACATGTTTTGGGTTAATTTAAAATGTGGCCCAGCCCGGTTCGCACAGAACAAAGCGCTAAATTAATGTTGTCATTTTCCACTCGGCGGATAAAATGGCCAAAGCCAGCCTCCGACAAAAGCCAACTGGACTCATTATGATCTGGACTTTGTTGCTGGCGGCAGTTGGCAGTTGGCCGTTGCATCCCATGCATTTGCGAAAAAGTGCAATTGACTGCAGATGCTACCATGATTCAGGCGGCTAATTTGAAAATTCCAAAATTTATCTAATTGTCTTTCCGGAAAGTGGACCCCACTGCAGCTTTAATTGAAATGCATCTGATTAAGTGCTGTTCTTTAAGTTCTCACTGGTTTTTTGCATTAAAAAGTACGGTAGAAAGGATTTATTATTATTTCTTGCCTTATTAATTTAATATTATTGGACTTTATAAAAATCCAAAGGTCTTATCTCAGCTACCCCATTTATTGAGTCATCCAAAAACCGTTCTAAAAATTTATGTAAGCTCGCTCGGCCTTCATAAAAAGGCGTTAGGTGAGTCCCTCTAATTAGAAACGTGTTTCCAGTGAAGTATATCAATCTGATAAAATAAAGTTGTTGCCTCCCCGTTGGTTACGCACAGGTAGCTGCTTACCCAATTCTTTTCAATATATTGCGATCATTATAAGGCGATCAACTGTCAATCTGAATTACAGTGTTTGGTATTGTCCGAATCCGTGGAATTCCATTGCTGAGCTGTTATGGGTAGGTCGATAATTATAATGCGACACCGACGATTTATTATTTTCATTTATAGATGTGACACACGACACACACATGAGGGCCGTGATTGAATGTATATCTATATCTACATATTTCTTCGAAAAATGCGACCGCTCCCCTGTTCGCTGCGATTAATTAAGTTCATTGGGTCGGTGCGCACGATTTTATTAATATGTGAGCATTTTTAGGAAAATTTATAATTTTAAAGGGATTGTAGTACTTTATCTTAAATAACGAGAGCAATAAACCAAAAAGCGTTCATCCCGAGAATATAAAAAAAGTGTTAGGCTCCAGTATTCAACATCATTTTTACGTATTTTATTTTACGTGTTTTTGAATAACGTGTGCAATTTATTGAAACATTTAAAGTAAAGGAAAAGTCTAGGAAAACACCAGCTACAAAGTTTAAAGCTAACAAAATATCTTTTAAAGCCTTGCTGTTTCATATTTCTTTTATACTGAGTCGACTAGTGTTCTTAAAAAGTGTATTGCTTTTATAAAAATCAATAAATACATTTTTTAACATTTCTTTAAATGATATATAAACGTTATTCATTATTAGTCAAAGCTTAAAAAAAAAAAAAAAAAAAATTTAAAAAAAATTTTTATTTAAATTTTTTGGTTTTTAAAAAATAAAAAATGGCCATAAATGTTTAATTTTAGGCCATAGATTTTAAGGAATGAAAATGGTGATATAGTCCGAGTACCTAAAAAATACATACTTTAAAAACTTTTTTTATAAAATGCTTGGTTCTTATCAAAATTTTACCCTAGAGTAAATTAAAAAAAAGCCTATAAACAATAATTAGTATTTGTTTTTATATTTTCAAGCAAATGTTTAATTAATTTTATGTTTTTTTTTTTTTTTATCTATGGGTTTTTAAAATTTAAAGAAACGGCCCTAAGTAACGCAAATTTAAAGTAGTGTCGTTGAAAATATTTTGGAGTTCAGAGTTTAAAGCCAACGTTAAATTTAACATGCGAACGAACATGCGAATATAAAACTCCAATAAATTCCAAACTTAATTTCTTCCGGCGTTTATTCAAATAAGTTGGAGAAAAATAAGTGATTTTATTCAACTTTATTTATCATTAAATTTGCAAATTTACATAAATACTATTTACAATTACAAAATGTATGCCATTAAAAATGTCTTGAACCAGTTGTCGAACGTCTGAACGTAAGTGCATTTGTGTACGAAGAAGTATGTGTGAATTAACTAAATTACCGCAGCTAATTACTCGTATAGTACGTATGTATTGTATGTATGTGTTTATATGCATATATCACAGATACTTAAATTTCTCTACAAATTTATCAAACGAATAAGGTAACTAATTACACGATTACGTTTAAGTAACTATTTATGTTTGCACGGATTAATTATTTGGCCGAGTACATGTCTAATGCATAAAGTCGAAGGGTTAGGCAAAATCTTAACTATTTCTTATGGATAGGATTTGGATTTGGGGAAACTAATGTTCCGTTTCTCCAATTTATGATATTAGCACTAATACAACGTGAAGTTCTCTTAAGGTCTAATGCGGTAGCTATTTAAAATTATCAAGTTGAGTGTGGATTAAGCACTTAAGGTAGGAAATGTTAGTGTTGTGTACGAGCTAAGACAAAAAGTTCGCTTGATTTATAGCCCGGTGGAGTAGTACGGGCTGGCATTATTATTGGTATGCCACTGGGACGACTCGACTCGACTCAGCTCAGCCAGCTCGAAAGATGAATGAGTTCGTGTGGTGTGCGTTTATTTCGAGTCATTAAACCCGGAGCCGAGTGACTCAACCCCGGGCTAAAAACATGACAAACACACGGCCCTCCGTCTCCGAAGCACCCAAAAAGTGGGCGTAGAGACACCCCACCACCGAACCGACGAACTACCGAACCACCGAACCACTGAACTCCCTAACCACCGCCCCACCGAGACGTGTGTGTCTCGCAAATTTTCAGCGGTCGAGTGTAAATATGCTAATTAAAGTTATAAAGCGAAATAATTTATGATATGGTAGGAAATAAAGTTTTATTGCCGTACTTAGGCTACATTTATTGCAAAATAATTAGTGTAGTTATCGCTATCTGGTAATCGTACTCGTACTCGTAATCCTAATCTTAATCGCGGGCTGCCCCGCCAACTTGCACTTGTCCCCGCCGTCGAAATGTGTAAGTAGTTTCGCTTGCTGCTTGGCTATTTGGTATCTGGTAACGGTAACTGGTACTGGTAACTGCTTACTGGTAACTGGTTCAAGGTCGAATTACGACCCGGAACGGCCCTCCGTGAGGTGGTAGGAGCCACCCATGTGGCAGGCGGACCCGTGACCATATCCCCCACCGCCAGCCTCGTTACTGTACAAAATGTTGACCATGGAAGCCACCGTCACCGGAGCACCGGAATGCATCGAGGAACTGTGGCTGCTGCTCCCGCTGCTGCTGCTGCTGCCGCTGCTGTTGAGCTTCATAGTGGGCGGCGTTTGGGGCGGCGTATCGGGCTGGATCTCGGGAAACCCCACCCGCTGCGGCGGATGATGATTGATGGGATGCGTATGGGTGGTGGTGCTGGGCGGCGGCACCTTGCCGGAGGAGGAACTTCTGCTGCTGCTGCTGGGCAGATGCATGCCCATGGCCTCGGTGTACGCCGTAGGTATCCGCGAATATGGCGATCCGCCGGCGTAGCTGCTCATCATACTCAGCGGCGAACCGAGCTCCATCGAGTGGTGCGGATGCGGATGAGGATGTGGGTGATGCTGATGCTGCTGCGATTGGTGGTACTGCTGCTCCGCCGCCGAGGACGGCGGGTAGAAGTTCTGGCCGAGGTACGCCGCGGTGGGCGGTGGTGTCTTGCAGGCGGCTGTGTCGGCCACGCTCCAGATCTTGGGCTTGCTCGCCGGAACTGGGATGCCACAGTCTCTGCTCAGCGGGTTTTTTTGGGCCGCAAAGTCGCCTCCTGATTCCTCCTGACCTCCATAGCCGCCACCCGGATGGTAGTAGGGCTGCTCCATCTGCTGGTGCTGCTGCAGCTGTTGCTGCTGACTTTGCTGCTGCTGCTGGTGGTGCAGTTGCTGGGGATGCGGGTGCGTATGCGTGTTGTGGGATTGCGCATACGAGCTGTAGGCCGCGTGCATGGGATGGGCGCCGGGGGGCGTGGCATAGGGCGCCAGTCCCCGCATGGCCACCAGATTGTGCGGCTCCCGGTCAACGAGATCCAGCTTCTGGTCACTCTGGTCCACCTCCTTTTCCGCCTTGCCCAGCTCGGATTTGATAAGTTGATTGCCGGGATCTGGAGATTAGATGGCAGAGGGAGAGGAAGAGAGACCATGTGGAGACACAAAATAAATTTAATTAATTTCAAGTCGCAGGCAGGAAGCAGACAAGTTCTTAGAGGACTGCAAAACTTGGCACTTGCAGGAGGTGGAACTCTTGGCAGAAGGCAAAAGGCAGCTGGCAGCTGGCAGTGGCAAAAACCCTTGAGATTGTTGGTGGGCGTTGATGCGTGCAACCCTCGCAGCCAGCGGAGAAAGCTTTCAGCAGCAAAATACTCGAGTTTCCGCCGACCACCGCCCAAGTTCCCTCCCCACTGCACCATTTCTATGTGTCGCCAACTCGAACAAGGCCACTTTGGAGTCGGAATGCACGGAGAAAATGGAATAGTGAAGCTAATGGCATATGGCCAACTCTATTAAATATTCTTAAATATTATCGTCCTATTGTAATTTTAATTTATTCTTGCTAATTTCAAAAAACAGTTTATTTAATTATAAACATTTTTGTTCTTACAATATTTTTTAATATTTTTCGAGACCTACAAAATGTTATTAAAATCATTGAAAACTAATAAAAAAATTGTTTTTATATTAACAGTTTGTTTTTTAAACGTCAAATAAATTTATCTTTTTCTGGCAAGTTGCAACTTAAATTTATATACATTTAAAAAAATTTAACAAATTTAAAAACAATTTTTTTTTTAATTTAACAGTGGATTTATTTTAAACCCACTTTTAAAAATCACATCATATATTGGTCATGATATGTGAAGAATTGAATATTTCAATACCTTATATTTATGTTAACTATTTGCCTAAATTTCTACCAGTACACTTGTGATCGGAGTGCGGGCGCAAGGCCACTTTGCCAACAATGTGCTGTCAACTTCCGGGGAGGATGTCGCCTAAGCAGTCAGACAAATAAACGGACGACGGACTTTGGACGGCGGGCAGACGAATGTTGCATAACATTCGCCTCGCCACATAAATTGTACTTAAAAGCCCAGTGCCACAAATCTGCCGAAGAGGCGGGTCAGCCAGCCAAAAAGGCGTAGTAATCAATGGGGCAAGGCGTTTGGAAAACAATATTCCGGGGCTCAAGAAATTACAAAGCGAGATCCCCGAGCTCTACTAATTGAGGTCAGGGATGGGGCATAAACTTGTGGACTCACCAAAAGCTTCGGTGGAGAGTTTTCCACCATCGCCGGACTCCTTTTCCTTCTCATCGTCCGACATCATGCCATCGTCATCGTCCTCGGTCTTATTCTTGGGCTCCCAGGTCATCTTGTTCTCCTTTTTCAGCCTTCGCCGGGCGTTGGCAAACCAGGTGGACACCTGGGTGAGCGTCATCTTGGTGATGATGGCCAGCATGATCTTCTCCCCCTTAGTGGGATACGGGTTCTTCTTGTGCTCACTCAGCCAAGCCTTCAGCGTGGCCGTCGATTCGCGGGTGGCGTTCTTCCGTCTGGCGGCGAGATCATAGTTAGGACCGTATCTGCAGGTTCAAAATCAAATACCCCGAATCAATAAAGCCCATTGTGCTATCATGGCCGCTAATGAGTTTGCTTAGGGCAACACTGATTTCTGATTTTTCCCTTTCCGGCCTGCTATCAGCTTTTAGATAAATAAAGCACACACACCACACACACCTTAAAGACAATAATCAGCTATTGGGGGCTGATAAGAATCGCCCACCCAACCGGCATGCATTTGCAACTTCCTCTCGTCTAGGTCAACAGCAAATGGCTGAATAGTATTCCATTTCAGCCAGAACCGCGCCTCAAGGGCTCAAACTCTAAGCCAGACATACCCTTTTAAGCGATAAATAAAAAGAAACCCGGCAGACGACACGACGAGAAAGTTTTTGTCCCATGGCAACATTTTAAGCCCACTTAAGATTCCCATTTGTGTATTTGTACAGTGGAACTTCTTGAACTTAAGAAACCACAAACGTCTGTCTAATTACATTTTAAACTAGTTTTTTCAAAGAGTAGAATAATGTTATTTTATAAAACGGCATTTAATCATTATCTAAATTTAAATTTATTACCAAGAGTTAAAGATTAATTTGTACAAAATTCTTCTAATTCATTTTGTTATTTTGATTAGGTGCTAACTTCTGTGTAAGTGAACCCATAAAAGTTAAAAAGTCCGATGAAACATTAGTAATTTTAAATATATTTTTCCATTGAATCAAAATTGCTAGTTTTAATTGAAATAAAAATCCACGCAATAAATCTACAACTATAAAAAGTCAGATGAAACATTAGTTAGTTTAAATATATCTTTTGAATTAATGGCGGTAGTTTAAATTCAAATAAAAATCCTCTCAATAAATCTACAACCATAGGAGCTCCACCGTATTTCCCCTGCTCCTTATAATCTACCTCTAAGCCAAACGTCTTCATTTTGAAATGCTCACCCGTAGGCCGCCAGCGTGGGGTCGTAGGAATAGTAGCCGGTGGTGGACTGCAGACTCGCCGATGTCCAGGCGCTCATCTCGGTGCTGGGACTGGTGTCCTTGATGCCATAGGGATTGCTCTGCAATTGGGTAACGAAAACTGGCGATTAGTCAACTTCCTTGGACAGGCGGCGTGAGCAGTGAGCCCCTTGTAAGCCTGCGAATTTGTCAGCCCCCAGGTAGTCAGGTAATCGCGGCAGTTACAAGTTACCGGGCCTAACGAGCTGACGGCCAACATGGCGATATCTGCCCGGCCTGTCGCCTCGCATTTGCGCGGACTTCCGCCGACTGCACAAAGCCAATTAGTCTGCCCCGATCCTTACCAGAGGTGCGTAGAAGGCCGAGTTGTCCACTCCGATGCTCGGGTAGGGGTTCTGCTCGTTGGAGGGATACGGTCCGCCGTAGACGCCCACGCCGGCGGAGGGCAGCGCCATGCGGGAGTAGCCACCGATGGCCAGCCGGGCGGGATCGTACTGGCAGGAGCACACGGTTTGGCCGGACACGGGATCCGTGATGATGGGTCGCCCGTTCTCGCAGCAGGATCCGCGGGCGGGCAGGTCCTGGGCGGCGGATGAAAGGCCTCCCGGTAGATCGGCCCCACCCACCGCATCTTCCGCCGGCGACGTGGAGAGGCCCTTGTGGCCCGCATGGTGCGACGACTGGGAAACTGCACCTGGACTCAGAGGACCGGCGGTCAGCCCGGTGGCCGTTGAACCGCCCGAGGGACTGAGGGAAGCCTCATTCGTGCCGGACAGCGGCGAGCCTCCGCCATGGCCGCTCTGACTGTCGGTATTGGCGGTAGTCAGCTGCAAAGATGCCAAACGGGAAAAAAGAGCACATTTTAGCAATGCCGAAAAAAATACCCCGAACCCAAAAATGTCTGCGGTGAGGGAATCGCACACTGAGCGAAATAAGTTGGAATTTAAAAATAGAAAATAATCATATCTTATTAAACTATATTTGAAAAAAAACCTATTTAAGACTAACCAAGTATAAACATCTCAAAATATTTAATAAGGAATTAGAATATAGAAAATTAACAAAAGTTTTGGGTGCAAAAAAATGTTGTTTTACTAAGGATTTTTAAAAACACTTTTAATAATTGTTAGTTTTCAAAATGATTTACAAAAAAACGCCACCATTTTGAAATTAAAAAAAATAAACTATTAATATTTATTTATTTTCATCATTTCTATTCAACCTATTCTGTCTACCTATTTTATTTAGCCCCCGTTTCTTGCAGTGCACGAACAGGTGAAGTTGGCAGGACACGAACGAGCAAAGAGGAGAGCAACCAGGAGAGGACCTAAAGGAGAGGTAAGCGCAAAGGCATGTCCCTGCCGACCGGGTCGAAATCAACAAAGCAGATTAAGATGATAACTCCAAATGTCAAAATATTTTATTGGCCTGGCGCATTTTGCGATCCGTTCCATCTATTTTCACTTCATTAATTTTCAATTTATCACAGTCAGATTTCAGATACCGCTTCGTCCGAAGCCGAGCGGCCTGCACATCGCACATCGGGCACCGATCTTTGAAGAGGGTTCTCTTCTCGGTTCGAGATGGGATGGGGATGGGATGGGAGTATCAGTGGACCGATCGATCGACCGAGAATGGGCACGGCCCGGCCAAAAGGGCAATCAAATGATGAGGGACGCAGGTAGGCTCCTCACTCCGCGCGTCTATATCCCATATCCTCTGGAGCGATAACCGCAGCGAATCGGAGACATCTGAGCCGTCGGTTAGAAACCCCTTGATTCGGCTCGAACGGAGCCCGAAAAACCCAAATCCCAAAAAACAGTGTAAGTAGAAGGTCGCCCTATATGATGACTGGCTGTCAAGTCGCACTTCACGCGCCTCAAAATCGGGCTTACATCTTGTGACACCGGTCGTAATAACAATCTCCTTCTCATATTCGATTAGCTACCGTTTTCCGTCTCCATTTCATTTCCACTGCCATTTCTCCGCCTATCGCGGCTACCTCACAATCCTCCCCATATGATTTAAATAATAATGGTAATTCAAGGCTAAACGAGCTGATTCGCCAACACCTCCTGCCGGCTATCTAATCGAGGGGCAATTTCGCGCCGACGCCAAAAAGCACCGGGAAATTATTGCATAATGAAGGTGTTTCATGAATGAAATCTAATGAATTCCGAATGAATGAAAGGAGCCAGGGCGAGTGTGGATCGTCCAAGGAGACGACTGTCTCCGCTAATGTACAAAACGCTGGGCGCGCTCATTTCTTATTATTCTTTATTTTTGTTCTTTATGCGATTCGAACATCAATTTCAGTTTTTGTGGCCGCCCATAAAAAACACATATCGGCGACGACGACAGCGGACCGGGGACCTGGACTTTAGTGGACTGACTGGTCCGAGTGGCGAGTCCGAGTCCCAGTTCGGAACAGTGCTTATTATCGGCACGCAAGTCAGTTTATTTTTAATGGTTCCCACTCACCCACTCTGCTGAAAAATCGCAGGAAGTGCAGCGAAGAGCGCCCAGTCGCTGGGTTTATCGCAAGGTGACTGCAGATAGGATAAGCCACACTCTGGAGGACCAACTTTGGGCTCGGGGCTTGGGTTTCTATTCTGCGGAAACTCTGAAACTTGTCGGCAGCTCCTAAATGCCGTCTTAAAGTTGTGCGCTCTTTTTTATGACTTTTTGCTGTCGGTGTCAAATTGCGGCAAGTTTAATAAAGAATATTTCCCGGAGTCGTCACAGAGAATATTTTAAATTCACACTTGTGACTATCTTCTTTCTATCTCAATTATTTGGATTCTTTGAAGGAGAACTTATAGGGGCTTAAAGAATAATTTTTCGATTAAAAAGATTATGAGGGTTAAACAATTTCACTGTTGATTATTTTTGAAAATATTAGAATAATTTGAAATTTATTGTTACTCTTAACTAATAAAAAAAAGTAATGGATAATATGCTTTTCAAATTTCTAATGGTTAAAAAAAATGAATCTATCATATTTTAGAAAATGTTTATGTGAAAATAAACGATTTTTGGATTTGATAATTGCATTTAAGGTTATAAATGATTTACAGGCTGATAACACTTTTTTAATAGGTTCGAATAAAAATAGATAAAGAAAGAAAATAAATCAATAAATAAACTTATACAGCTGTTGTAACCTTAGACCTTTCCTATTTTGCAATGGAATTAAATTACTTTTTCACAGCAGTGTCGGGGAGGTACAACAAATTCCCATCCACATGCAACAAAAGCATTGAGGCCTGAAAATGTTTCTCTCTAATTGCAAGTATAAAACTATCCGAAGGGCAGGCAACTCACACGAGAGGAATACGAGCCCGATTTTTATGCGCCATGACCAAAGTTCAAAGTGGCAATTCAACCTTGCATCTTTAACCGCAAAGCAAACATGAAGTCTGCAAAACAGCTGGACAAGCGAAAGTCTCAACGAGCCGAAAAGCAAAACAAAAGGCCTAAGCAAGGAAAAAAGCAGGCGAATATTCATCGGCCGTAATTCGGTTGAACCGGCATGGACATCGTGTAAATCTCTATCTCTGCCTTTGAAGTGCCCATATCCCATATCCCCTTGGCCATATCCACATCCACATCCAGATGCAGATGCAGATGCCGATATATATTTACAGATACGGATACAGATGGCCACCCGCACCCATTGGGGCCAAGATGTTGGGAGAACTGGTGCCGTCACTTTACGGTTATTAATTTTATGATTTATGTTAAAGCTCACGAGTCCGCCTACCAAATGCCCATGCTCATTTCACGAACGCACGAGTGCGACGAGCTCCCATATAGAACGGTATACGGAATACGGTATAGGTATGGTATAGTATACTGTATAGGATAGTACAAAGACAAAGGAGATCGGCATTGTTGTGGTTATTGGGTGCCGCTGCCGTTTCGCCGTTGTTGCTGCTACCGCTGGGGATGCGTTTATGGATTTTGTTTTTGCACTCCTAACAACGACTGCGAAACAAAAGCTATTGGAAGGGGTTTTTGTTGGTTTTCTGTTGGTTGGGGGGCCTTGACGCCAGCCCCGAACAATAAGCGAAAATATGAGGATCCCAGGCAGCAAGGAAGCTGCCAGTCGAACGAGTCCCTACAAACAAACACATGTTCGCATTCGCATTCGCAATCGCAGTCAACTTCTCCGGCGACTACTGCCTCTTGGATTTGGCATATTCTCACATTCATCCGCAGGATTGCGCTGCCAAACGAGTACGCCATATTCATACAGATACCCACTCTTGGAGGCACACAGAAAAAAAAAGAATCCTACATTTTAATTGCCTTAAAAATGCTGCAACTTAACGGGTTTAAAATGGTAATTTTCTTGAAATTTGTTCTACATTTTTTAAATGTTCCCAATAAAGAAAGTAAAACTAAGATCCATTTTGTAAAAATAGGGCTGGTATTGAAATTGGGCTTTTAATAATGTGAATTTAAAGACAATAGGTCATGCTGTAATTTACCATTAAAAATTAATTGAGCAGTAGAAAATATAAGGAAATATTTTCAGATCGTTTAAAGAATAAAACATAATAATAGCACCCCGAGATAGCTATTTTCTGGAAGAGTTTTAGCTACAAATTATATTGTTATAGTAATTCGTATAAAATTAAACCAAGTTATTCACTTTATTTAAAGCCAAGTAAAAATAAATCACTTTTAAATTATTTTTAAAATGATCACTTTTTTTTTGAGTGCATTCGAATGCCAAAAGGACAGCTCCGAAGTGCGTTTTTGCTAATGCGAATAAGTTGCTTGGTTTTTTGTGCTGCGCATCGCTCCTCGCTTATTGAATTAAGTTCGGGCGCAGTAGTCGCAGTGGAACAACTCTTTCCCAACTGCGGTCTCAATGTTTGCATTAAAAATTCATAAATCAATTATGGAATGCACACTGCGAAATATTAGTTTTTTCTCGCATCATTTACGGCCCTGTCCTGTCCTGTCCTTTTGCGTCCCGAAGGAGTGGATGGGGATGGAGATGTGGATGGGGATGGGTATGGGACCTTTATAGCATATAGCATATAGCTTATAGGTCCAGGACTCGACATCGTCGCGCCGCTTTTTGCGGCCTTAGAATTTTAGTTATTTTGCCATGAAATGCGTGAACAGCTCGCATGGGAAGTTAAGAATTCGATGTGCGATGTGCCGCTCATCGCTCGTCGGTTGCTACTGCCAACTGTCAGCCGTTGATTAAATTCATATATTGCATGCGTCGCCGTTTTTGCCTCATTTTTGGAATGCCGTCTTGGCGTTGAAATTAAAATTAAATTAATGAATTCGCCGGCGAGGCTGTGTGTGCACTGCATAAATTGTAGGGTTTATAAATTTGGCACCCAGTCGATAGTATCTTTTGACCAGTCTTTAATTGGGCTTAGTGGCCGACTAAATGGCTCTCGGCTCTTTCGGGGGCAAAAACCAAATGCAAATGAGGTAAAACGATGACAAAATCCTGGCGGCTTTTAATCGATCGGCAGGAAGGCTTTGCACATCTGCAGGCCGGTAGCCATAATTATAGTCGATAATCTGAGCGTTCATTATTTTAATTATTGTAATTTACCAAGTTTGCATATTATAATAAATGGTCCACCACTCGGGCGGCTTCATTAGCATAAATTTATGCCAGCAGACATGGCTATATATATGCGAATATGCAACTACATATATTGGCAGCAGGACACAGGCCCCGGATAAACGCATAAGTCTAGCATTGACGCATTAGACCACATAGTAGTCGTTGAACAAGGCATTACACAGCCATTGAAAGGGCTTTGTAGTTGCAAGTGTTTCGGCCCTCTTCTCTCTACCCCCCGTCAGCCAACTAATTTGAATTACTGAGCTCGGAATACCGGGTAATTATGACCAGACCTCGGACGATGCCCCCCGAAAGTCCCCGATGCCACCGATTGCATCCAAGGCGATGGCGATGGCGGTGACGGCTGTCCTAAATTGTGAAACATTTCTTGGCGGCGGGGCGGCCATTATGGATATGCATGGATCCAGGAGCCCCAACCGGTGCCAAAGTGCTTGAATATTCATGTGTCGCCCCAGCCCGCGCCAACCCGCTTGGCCCGGCTTAAAATGTAAATTTAAAGTTTATTTTCACCGTCCATTATTAAAGATTTCCCTCGCACATGCCAAAATCTGTGGCCGAATTTCTCGACTGACTCACTAAATTTCTGGTTTTATGAAAATTGTCTTTCCTGCGTCTCTGGGTGTGCCAAGTATTATTTTAAACGACTGATACTAATTCAATAAATTGTATTCTCAAGTGTATATTCGAATGATTAAGTTATGGTTGCATATGGAAATGACAGAGCTGTAAATCAAAATATAATAAATATTTTGGGCATGCCAACCAAAAGCGTATTTAAATTTAACGCCTGGCAGTAGCAATATTTATAAACTTTTTAAAATTAGCTTTAATTAGAATTCGAATTGATTTAACTGGATTGTTTGCACTAAATTAAAGCAAACGCTTTTAATTTTCTGGTCCTACACTTTATATTATGACTGGCTGACATTTTCGCCTTCAGATATTTATAATTTGTAATTTAATAAGAATTTACGATATCGAAAGCGGTTCAATGTTCCCAACAGCTACTTTTAGAAGGTTACTTTGAACTAAATGTAAATTTAACAGGGGGAAGTAACCTTAAGCGTTTTAAATATATACATTTTTTGTTTAGAATAATATTAATAAAAACAAAAAAAATATTTAATATACTCATAAAGAAAGATACTCGTAACTAAAGGTAAATTAGAATTAGGTTAAAGTTAAGAATGGTTCTCCACTTTCTGTTCTTAATAATAATAATTTTTGTATCCCTTTATTTCCCTTTAAAAAACAGCTGAGATTATAAGAAGGTATATAACCCACCTGATTTGCCGTCGGGTAGCCAGCGTATCCAAACTGCGCATATGCAGCCATTGTCTCGCTGGCTGAATTGGCTTAAAAAAGCGGCGACAAGCGGTTTCACTGTGCCTGGCTTCACTGTGGGGCGTCCGTCGTTGTTTATTATTTTCCTCCTTTTTTGGCTATCGAGGATGCGGATGTGGATGCGAGTACGTTTGCGGATGCTGGCGGAGCCCTCGAAAAGGGGTTGGGTGCCGGTGCCCAAGGATGTGGGGGTGTTGGGTGGTTAAGGGAGGTTCGCGTGGGTGGTTGGGCGATGGGTGGCTGGGCGTTGGGTGGCTTTGGCGTGCGTGCTCAACGGCTAAGCACTCTGGGCGCTTTTGTTGTTTGCTGGCTTGTCGGGTGTTGCGCTATTGTTGTTGCTGCTGGCCTTGTTGAAAATTGATAAAACAAATTGTCGATGTCGAGCAGTTCTGTTAATGTCGCCGGAGCCGGAAAATGTTTTGTTTGTTTTGTGTGACTTTGCTCTTTTTTCATCCGTTTTTACTTCATTTTTATTGACTCTGCTTGACTCTTTGGCGGCCGGTTTCGAAATGTGAAAAAACACACAGCCAGCAAACCAAATTGGCTTCAAGTGTTTGCCGCAAACAGATTTACAAATAATGTACGCGGCTCTTCAGTCTTTAGTCAAAGAATGTCAGCGGGTCTTAAATGTTTGCTAACTGATTTGGGATTTATTTCTTTTATGGTTGTGGGTCTATGGTTAATATTTTTGAGAAATTTAAGTTTTTTGGGGATATTACTTTATTTTTTTTTTATAAAAAACACTTGTTTAAATTTTTATTAAAAGTTAGCTTTTGAAATGTTTGGATTTTTTGGGCTATAGGGTCCATTTTTAAGGTCAGCACTTAAATTAACGCGAGAGTTTGTTGATATTTATAGACAGTTTGTTTTTAAGGTTCATCATATTAATTTTTGTAGTTATTTTTAGAATTTTTTTTTAACAGTTGAGGTTGGTTTTATACTTTTTCGACCCAATAAGAATTGGGACTATGATTTCTTTTTGTATTTATTTTTTAGTTATTGCACGCACTTTATTATTTACGGCGGTTGCATCTGCCGATCCGATCCGCTGGCGACGCTCCAGTAAAAACGGGTTCCGCAACCTGTCAGCGGGATCTCAACGGTGACGGCAGTGACTGCGACTGCGACTTAGCCAGTGACTGTAACTCGTTTTCGGTCTTTTCGTTTCGGCCTTTTTTCGAGTTTTTTGGTTTTTGGGCGACGCGACGGAGTTGCCAAGATGCGAAGATGCGCACCTATTCGCGGTCCAAACTGTTTTGTCGTGAACTGTTTTCCGTCCGTTCAGCGAGCAGCGCGGTGGTGTGTGACAGAGACGGCAGCAGCTGTGCGAGCGGGACGGCTGCCGGCCGAGAGAGAGCCAGCCAGTTAGGAGCTCTCTGATTGGCCAGCGTTCCAATCAGACAGGGAGCACCGAACAGCAGCTGCCTTGCTTGCTCCTGTGCCGAGTGGTCTGACTGCGAGTGAGATGGGAAAACTCTCTGGGGTTGTTGTTGCTTTTTTTAGAGAACGCCCACCTCCAAGCACTGGAAAGTGAATCGGCGCTCTCTTTCTGCTTTCCCCTCTCTGTCGCCGCTGGAAGCGATTTCATGGCGGACCACGATCGAAAGGCTTCCCAATTGGATAATGCAGCCAAAGTTGGCTAGGAATTTTCGGATTTTGATAAAATATACAATATAAAAATAATTGGGAAAACAACTACGGAGGTACTAAAGATTTGGTATCATCAGAACTTGTTAAATGGGGTAATAGAGCTGGAGGAAAAAGAGAGCAAAAATATTTTGGGCCACTTATCACACACAATAATAATAGAGTATTTAAATAATAAACCACCTTGTACAAAAATATCTAATGTGCAAATCAGTTTGTGTTCTTTTATTTTAGGATTGCCAATTATAGCCTTAAAGGAACAATCTAAAAAATCTGACTAAGGTTTATGTATTTATAGATTTATAAAGAAAATTAAAAACTAAAAAACACAACGGTTTCAATATTTAAATGTCGAAAACATTATTCCATTATTGATTCGACTAAATATAAATCTTCAATACACATAAACATATCATTAAAATAATAAATTCCTAATAAACATGAGAAATAAAATAAACATTTTGACTAAAAATTTTAATAAGAAGACAACAATTAATGAAATTAAAAAAAAAGATTAAAATAAACGTGAGATTAAAAAAAATGGTTTAGTTAGTTCCGCATCTTCAATATTTATAAAATATTTACAAAACGGTTTTTAAGACTAATAAAATAAATCCGTATAATGTTCGTTACCTTTAAATACCTGTATGATTTTTGTAAATAGTGCTTTGAAATATTTCTATAAATTATATATTTTTTGTATTCGATTAAAAAATAAATCTTAAACACACTTAATAATATTATTAAAATAAAAAATATATCCATGCTAAACGTGAGAAATAAAACTAAACATTTTGTTTATAAATGATAAAAAGAAGACAACAATTAAAGAACAAAAAAAATTTATTAAACGAAACGTGAGATTAAAAAATATGTAATTTAGTTGCGTATCTTCAATGTTTATATTAAATATTTTAAAAACAGCTTTTAGGACTAATAAAAAGGTATAATATTAGCTTGCTATAAATAACTTCAGGTATTTGTGCAACATGCTTTGAAATATTTCTATAAATCATATATTTTTTAGGCAAATAAACATCCGAATTGGTTGGCCTTCTTAAATTCTAAATTTTAAAATGTCTCGAGGCCCTTCACGGAAAATCATAGCTAATTGGCACTAGCTAATCGTAACAAGAAACCGAAATGGGGAAAAAACAAACAAACAATCCGATTCCATTCTATCCGAGGGTGAGGGCGTGGCCGGGTCCACTCCAGAGTCCTCAAGTCGAGTACGTTCTAATTAATGGTAAGCGGAGCAGCCGGAGAGGGGCACATTTTTGGGGAATTTCTGTAAAATGAGTATTTTGATGTTTTTGGGGTGTTAACGCGCTGCCATTTATTATAAATGCGAACGCATCTCAAAGTCAAAAGAGGCGCACATGTGTCCCTTTTTTCAGTACTTACAAATCTACTCGTACCCGTATGTAAATGTGTGCGCCAGTGTGTCATTTGCATAGGAAAACGCATCAAGTATTTTTGGGAAAAGTGCCAGCCTGCTCAACTCCTGATCGTTACGGTTATTCTAAACTCAATTGCTGGACGCTCTCGTCGGCGCCAGGAAATTCTACACCCACTTCATGCGACCGGGGAGTACCCACCAGATTTGAAAGGATTCACATGAAAGAAACGCGTTTTAAAACAAAGAATTTACTCTCGAGTTTAAACAAACAAGGTTTACTTTATTAGATTTCAACAATTGGATTTAAATCAAGAAAATAATTTAAAACTATTAAAAACTTTTTAAATAAAAATATTTCAATAAAAATCTTGAATTTTTAAAAAATGCTCTAAGACCGATACAAAAAATTAAATATGCATTTTAAATTATATATTTTTAAATTTAAAGATGTTAGTGTATTTTGTTTGATTTTTATGCACATTGTAGACAGGAATAAATAAAGTTGTATTTATTTTATAAATTTATATGGGGATGTGTTGATGTTTTTATATAAAAATAAAATTATTCTTATCAAAATAAAACCTACAAATAATCCTGCCTTATATAAATCAGAATACCAAACGTTCAAAAAATGTTATTTTCTCCAGGGCTAACTTCCTTAAATCGATTTCTGTGAGTGATTTGTTTGATGATTTTGGACATGCGAACTGTGGCACATGTCGCAGTTCCTTGGGAGCTCCTTGCTCCCTGCCTGTCCCCATAAATGTCCTGATCCCAGGACTCCCATTGTCTGAGCTCTGTTTTCATTTAGTGCAACACAAACTCGAACATTCCTCACTCGGTGGACAGGACATGCAGATTATATTGAAAACAATTTAAATGTAGATTTTGGCGTTAAGAGATATTATTCTTCGACCGACGCCAGGTGCGTTGGTTCAGGCTCACAGGCACACTCGCACACACACTCTAATAAATACGAGTGTGTACAAATTGAACTGCTAATGTGTGAGTGGGTGGATGGGTGGGTTGTGGGTGGTATGGATACAGCTGCACGGAGAGTTGCAGGCAGAGAGTTACCTCCCACCGCCCATCGCCTCCTTCTCCTGAAAGGCTTCTTACTTAAGTGTTGTTTCATGTCACCTGGAAAGCATTTGGACATGAAATTGTCGCTTTTCAGTATGTGGCACACACACACACTCACACAGATATCCACACAGATACACTCTCGGCGAAAAATCTTCTTCCACACATGCAAAGGAGGAAGGATAGTGCTTCTGGTGAATATAATAAAATCCTTTTCGCAAAACGATAAACGATAAAGTCACCGTAACAAGCACAAAAAGGACTCTCCATGCAAATTGCTTTAAATGAATTTGTTTTCGTTTGTGTTTTGGGTCTGGGCTCGAAGTAGAGTTCGAGTTCGGGTTAGAGTTCCAGTTTTAAGCCACGACTCCAAGGGGAGCCATGTTCGGTGTTATCAACACTAAAGATTCTGTTACAAATTGCCATAATCCCCGGCCATATTCTCCATTTTTAACCGCAATCCGGAACTCCGGGCGTTTGGCAGGTGGGTGGGTGTTTGGGTGGCGGCCAAACCCACTCACCAATCAGTGTTCGGCGTTATCAGCTATCAGCCATTCCAGATAGCCGCTATCATCACCTGGCCATCTTATCGACCACTCGAAAATGAAATTGCTGATCAAACAGAACAAAAGCGCACACAACGTCGAACGTTCGTTCTCCTCATTCTCCAAACATTCATAAATGGAAACATACTTATTTACTCACTTTTCAAAACAAATCAACAAATCGGTGCTCTTTGTGGTTCAAGTGCCGATCGCCGGAGTCAAAAGCATCCGATGTGTGTTAGACCCCGATTTGGAATGGGAATTGGAATGGGAATTGGAATAGGGTATAGGCATGGTGCGGACCCTTTCCTCCGAATTCTTTGCGCGTGCGTTCCCTTTTGTCGGCGTTTTGACATCGACATCCCATCCGCAGTCACGATTGATTGTCGCGACAATTGACGTGATTTCGAATCTCCAATTGGTTTTCGTTCGGCGACCGCTCCAGAATTATCGGTGCCAAGCCCCGTCGCACGTGATAAGTTGAGGACCTGGAAGTGCCAGTACTTACATATACACACTGGATAGTTTGTGGGGCCCACGGCAATTATAAGTAGATGCTTTGTATGGACAGCTGTCCGGCTGTCGGTGGCATGCGTCACGACCGACATTGCCACATGCCCCCGTCACTGGGCATTCGGAATAGAGATCTAGGTGTTTGGCATGATTAGCACGTCGGAAGTGACTCGGAGTGTCACCGCTTTATTCTAATTGCGATTTAATGAGGTCCCAGGGCAATCCAACAAAGAAAGTGAGCTAGAAACGTCTCAAAAGTAGAGAAAAAAGGCCAAATTGCTAGAAACAAAATCATAAGTTTAGTTTAGCATCATATCTTGAAAGCCAGTAATATTCAAAAATAATATTATCAAATTATATTTTTGAGCATACACTTTTTAAAGTGATTTCATGCCCATGATCGTCTTTACTTTTAATTTTTTAGCACGGCTTTAAATAATCATAATATTAATAATAATAAAATAATATTATCAAATTATATTTTTGAGCATATACTTTTTAAGTGATTTCATGCCAATGATCGTCCTTACTTTTAATTTATTTAACACGGTTTTAAAGAATCATAATCATTTTTATTCATAAATATTTATTTATTTATTTTGGTTTTTAGAGGCAAATTTATTTACAGCTCACAAACGAATGCCTTGCTAGTCTGCAAAATAATCATTACCATGCACACAAGAAGTGCAATAAAAATATTTTTCCTCTCCATATAGTGATTAGCACTAATATAACGACAAAATAAAAATAAATCTTTATTACTCAACTTTCAGTCTGCTTAATTGACTGCAATCTTGGCTGCGCCCTTGCGCTGCCATTTCGAAACAAGAAAAGTTTTCGCTACCAATGTGGTTTGATGTTGCCAAGTCAAGTCCCTCAAGAGGGAGTGGCAAACACGGTTTTAAGCACTCACCTGTACTTCAGAGAACCGAAACGAGTTCAAGGATATACAAAGTTTTCGAAATTACCAAAAGTTCGTTCGTTACAACAAAAAAGTATGCTATAAAAGCAGATAATTACAAACTTCAAGCAGACAAGCGAATGTTGCAAAAGCTTGTC